CATAGTATGTAAATTTAAAATCTATCAAGCAAAACAGATTCATATATCCAACAATTCATCATTGTTTAGTTACTTTCATGAAGATGAGAATATTGAACAAATTCCATATTCACAATAAATCACCCTATATTAAGTCTTAAATTTTTACATTCTCCAGAATTCAGAGTATGAAAGTAATTGATGGAAAGCCTGAATTCAATGGAGCAGTTGTAAGTTGAAAATGAATTGATAACTTCATTTTTTTTATATTCTATTTAAAAATATTTAATCCAAACAGCTACCAAGAAATCTATCCTTTTCCGGCATATTTATATTATGAAAAACAACAAGAGGCATGCCCCACTGTGGTCTAGTTATGCGGCATTGTCATCGCACAAAGGCATAGTTGGCCTTATTGCTGAAAATTACTGTTTAATGTGTTGATTCTTGCCTCCCCAACTGATTGATTATAAAGTGCTGTAGGGGTGAAATTCATTGCATTCTGAACTTATTTCTAGTTGGTTTTGAGAAGTGGAGGAAAAACTATAGAGAGCACTATAATATAAACTAATTGATTTCATTTTGTGGTAATTATATTTTGTTATTTCTTTGCAGGATGTACTTGTTAGGACAGTTCGGTCAGAGGGTGTATTCAGTCTATGGAAAGGATTTACACCATACTACGCACGTATAGGTCCCCACACCGTCCTCACATTCATCTTCCTTGAACAGCTAAATAGGTTTTACAGAGAAGTTATCGCAAAAAAAATATAAGGAAAATAATAAAATTAACTACTAATAATGAAATATAATATTAATAGAGATCCTAATCTAATATTTTGTCAGTGTTGGTAACAGTATAAAAAAAGAGTTGCTTATTTTGAGTTGTCGCAAAATGTATGAATTGACAAGTTACATATGGTTTATGAAATTTTAGTTTAGAAACCAATAACCCTCACTGCCAAACAGGGGTTTAGTAGTCCAAAATATGCTTCAGGGACGTATCCAGGTTGGGGGGGAGGGCTGCAGCCAGGTTTTTTAAGATAGAAATGCGATACTGTGGTTCAACGTAATTTGCATAACGACTCCCCCCTTTCAAAATCCTGGCTACGTCCCTGATATGCTTTAGTTTAATGCAACATTTGATAGATTTGAAGAATATAAAGAATTTACTAAAGTAGACCAAGCTGTCCGGATGCTCACTGGCTAAGATGTATGCATGCAACATTTACATTGCTAATGGAAAAGTTCAGTTTAATTGTTAAAAGGTGAGTTTCAGAATTGAAGTAATCAATAATATATCATTTATTTCTAACAATACCCATAATTGTGCTTTTGGACCACAATACAGTTGAAATATAATTTGACTTACAGATTGTTAATGGAAAACTTTAACCTATATTTAGGATTTTACATTTTGGCTTTCAAAGTTAAACCCTCCAATGTTTATCCCACCAAGCTTTAATAAGATATAAATTCAGAGAGAAAAGATGGCCAATAAGGCCTTCAGCTGCTTACGCTCAGATATAGCATATGCTTATTATATGCCCAAATATTTTGTTACATGTTTTTGTTTTGGTAAGTCATGACCAGTAGTAGCTGAATGGGAAATACAGATTTTAGTTTCTCAGCTTTCAATATTAAAGTCTTTGAATGCCACATGCACTGGACATTTTTGAAAGATTTTAATAAGGCAATCCATGTTTATTCCTTTTATGTGATTTTAATCATAGTATAAAATCATGATTATTATTTGTAATCAATTTTATATTGTTCAAAATAAATTAACCATTATTTTTATTTCTTATGTGAATGCCAGTTCTTCGTGTTTTATAATCTTCCAAATTTTTGCAGTGAAAGAAATGTCTTCCTATTGCTGTATTCAAATTAATCATGTACAGATGCATTTCCACCAATTTTTTTCTTTTTTTTTTTTTACGCAAGGCCCATTTACATAGAGCCCCATGGGGGCATGCAACATACACAAAAAACATTCTATCAGTATCTGTTGACGGTGCATGCTCAGTTGAATGGCGATCGAGTTCCTAGTTGATTTACACATTATTTGTCATATAACAAGCTTTGAGAAATGGAAAACAATCCTATGCTGGACTAATCACCATTTTTTTTCTCTACCAGTCTGTCACATGCAGTTGCAGTGCTCTGTGTAAATAGACTTTATTGATGAAAAACCAATATTATTTGTGAATTTGTTGTTTTATGTGTGTGTATTTAAATAAAAGATTTGAGACAAATAAATGTCAAAATCAAATATGTATTTTATTTGTATCAATTTACATAGGTGTAGGTTCACTTTTCTTGAGCCAAAGTGAACAAAGTAAAATCATAGACATCCCTGGAGCAGTGTGTTTACACTACTATACTCGTACAGTAATCTAACTAATCGTGAGACGGAGTGGATTCACATTTATAGTATTTTCCAACATTCCTCTTAAATTTGTCTACTATTCTTTTTCCTGATAATTTGCACCTTTTCATGCAAGTTTGCAAGAAGCCCTGCAATGATCCCACTAATCTCAATCATTTGATGGCCAACAAGCTTATACACCACCACTAACTTTATCTGCTGTTGAAACTCACATAATTCTTGTCACAAGCCATGCTCTCTGGACAGTTATCTTTTCTGCACCTGAACCATTTGTAATCTTTGGTTTTCGGATGTCCTTATATAATTTTTTCCATTCAAAAATCCACAATTGAATTTTCCAAGTTTTTAAAGAACCCCTCAATTTTCTTATATTTCTATAAGTGCCCTCTCAATTTCCACTCTGTTTTCATAAGCGCCCCCCTCAAAAATGGCAAAAAATATTTTAGGCGCCCGGGCGCTTATTTGCGCGAGCATGATACAGGAATGTATAAATACATGTGTATAAATATTGCTGTATCCACACTATCAAATTTTATGTGAAAAATAAATGGGATAATGACATGCCCATATTTGAATGTAACATGACATCATCATGCCCATATAAGGGGCAAACAACACAAATTCCTCACATAAAATTTGAAAGTGTGCACAGAGCTTAACATTTTGTTTTGCAAAAATCAGTGTGAATAGAACCTTAATATGAGGTGCAAGTGAATGTTGATATTAATCTGGGATTGTTCCTAATACAGCAGTAACCAATGTATTGCATTTAGTAATAAATTATTTGAATTATTCAGGATCAGAGATAATATGTAGTTCCAGAGTTTAAACCTATGATATTTGCACTTGCTATATTTGAACCATGTTTGCATGGGATTAATTGTAACTGGCTCTGGCAAAACAAGTCATTTGCGAAAAAAAAAAAAAATCAAAATTGAGGTTTTGGTATTGTTAAATTCTGTATAATCCTTTAAAACAGTTAATTATGTGATGGAAAAAATTTATAAATGTTTAATTCATTGGATATCAGCCATGTAGTCTCCAAAACCAATAGTTTATATAAACTATTATTAAGATTTGTATTTTTAAAATAATGTTAATATACTTTTCAGTTAGATTTAGTGATCGATAATTTGTTTTATAAAATGCAAAAACCTGAAAATGTTCAAAATTCTGATTCTCAAACGTGCTTGTACAAAATTAGAAATTCTGACAAAACGGCGGGTCACAATTTTGGTCAAACCATGTACCTGATCTATTTGTCCAAATATATCCAGTGCAAAGAGCCTGTTTAACATTCTCTTGGTCAAACTACCCAAGGCACAATATATTTTTTTTATGAAGAATAGCTCGTCTATTTTGATTGCCAATCTCTAATATTGTTGCCATACTAAGCCATAAAACTCTCCCCATGAACCCTGTCTGGAATTTTTATTCCAGACCCTGAACGAGGCTCTTATCGGCCTCTTGGTTCAGACCCCGCTGTTGGCAGATTTCTGGAGCCACTGCTGCTGAGTATGACATGCTAAATGCTGCGTACATCACACAGAATGCATTGATGATTACACAGACTATGTAGGTGCAGAAATCTTTCTATCTTAAAAACTACCTCATTTTCAAAAACAGTGAACAGTGGTGTGATTTGACCAAGGCCAGTGTTATTGTCGTCTTGATCAACTGAAAGGGAGCTTTTGATTGCACGACAACGGTAGGACGTAGAACGCAATGACGTCACTAAAAGTCATCTGCGCTTGCGTGAACGATAAGGTCACCTCGTCGAGCAGATTCTGGAACGCAATTTGGCCAAACCTACGTAGCAGAAAACGTAGGACGCCCAGTAGCAAGTCACGCGCGAGTGATTGTGTTCTAGCTTTGTGTCGTTGCACAAATCGAAGGCTCCTCAAAATCAATTGCTCTGTCCACACTATCAAATGTTATGTGACAGTTTTGAGTGATATATTCATGCTATGATGACGTCATATTACACTTTTTTGTCCCATAAAAATTGATATTGCGGACAGGAATTTATAGCCTATATTCTGGTGTTTACCATTTAACTCAGAAAGCAACAGCAACATTTTATATTATAAGGCTTTGCTGTTCTAAGAGCTATTAAAACTTGAATAATTATACTGTATTTAAAAATTTAACACATTAACTGTAAGATTTTTTTTTTAAGGTTCCTTCCCACTTGCCAAAACAAGCATACATGTACTGTACAAATATACATTTTTGAAATTTTATCCAGTGATGATATATCATTAAATGGTGTGTCTAATAAATTGGCGGTAAAATATTAGGGGACGAGCAAACTCGTAGGCGGCAATGGGACAGTACTCGTGCAATCGAGTGTACTGCCGGTAACATAACACAACATACATATGTTATTTATGTTATAGTCTAGGTGTATCTTCACCGAACTATCAGCCATTAAGTCTGTGGTTCTACAATGTATAACTATAAAGTAATTAACGCTAGAATGTTACCCTGGTTTTGATGAGTATAGCCGTCCCTAGCGCACTCTGTTGGAAAAGTATATACCTACAGTGTGTTCATTTGCATAGACCAGGGGTGGGCATAAAAATCGGTCAGAGGGCCAAAGTCAATTTTTGATTTAACGCCGAGGGCAACACGCTTATTTCAATGTTTCCAGTGTGCTTCCAAAAACCTTCACACACTGCTTTTACACCACTTTATTCTCAGTTTTAATATTACTTTTTACAGATGACCGGTATCAAGGAGTTTTCTAGAAATGTTGCATGGCGGGCTGCACAGATAGGGTTTTTAATTCATTTTCACTGGCGGCCAAAAAAAAAATCACTGGCGGGCCGCATGCAGTCCGCGGGCTGTACGTTGCCCACCTGTGGCATAGACCCAATCAATTTAGAAGTAAAATGTCTACAGTATATGAGAAAACTTTTCAACATGATTTATTGGAAATTTATACTAGAGTTATCCTTTTAAATGAGCTGTATTTACAGTACAGGGTAATAATTTGCAATAGTCTTGTAGGCCTCCACATGTGAAATTAATCACATTTATGATAATATTAATGAATATATTATTTACTATATACTTTCGAGGAAGCATACTGTAACTACAATACAAAGCTCAAGATCACATGTAAATCACTGAATTATCACATTATGAAAGTTATCTGACTAATAAGGTTTTCTTAAATAAAATTTAAATACTAAATTTCATGGAAGCATTTATACAATTATAATCTCCACTATTTGTATTATTATTTAATCTGTTTTTAAGGTTTAGAAAATGAAGCATGAATTTGCCATAAATACTGTAAAATGAAAAACAAAATTTTTTAACTACATAGTTCAAATCCCAAGCGTAAACTTTCCATCGTATATTATGAATGCTATAAAAGCACATTATTAAACACTTTATTTAACTGCTTGGCTTGTCACACACAGAAACCGGATTCACATAATATACAGTTTGTTGTCCCATAATGTTCTCTGTTACCTCTAGAAACATAGTCTCCTTTTCCACAGCTTTGCTCGCGGTCACCTTCTGTTCAACATCCTTCATCGTAAGGTTGCTACCGCATCCTTTTTTATGTGTGTGAAGGTGGTATCGAAACGAAAAACCTTCATTGCAAACCCCACATTTATACAACTGCCCACGACTGTGCCCTTTAATGTGTTGTTTCAAACTAAATCGATCAGTAAAAGCATGTCCGCAGAGGTCACAGAGAAATGGCTTCGCACCAGTATGTACTCGCTGATGTCTGTTCATGGCACTGCGAACGGTAAATGCTCGATCACAGATTTTACACTTGAACGGTTTTTCTCCAGTGTGTCTACGTTCATGACGGCGTAAATCAGTGCTGTCTTTGAACGTTGCATCACACATAACACACCCATATGGTCTATCATCTGTGTGAACGCGTTCATGTCTACGGATTGCAGTTGAGGTGGCAAAAGTTTTCTCACAAAATCTACAGTTAAGCAATTTTTCTCCAGTATGAAACTTTCGTTCATGACACCGTTGACCTCCGGCTGATGTGAACCGCTTTCCACAATATACACACTTAAAAGGTTGTTCTTCTGTGTGGTACTTTTCATGCCAATCTTTCTCATCATTAGTATGAAATTTCTTGACACAGAACGAACACTGAACAGTTGGCGGCTCAGATGAAATTACATTCTTTTTGGAAGAATCTTTTTTCTTCCGGCTCCTCTTGCTTGGATTTGAAAGGGACGGCAAATCCACAATGATTTGCTCTTGATCAAATTCTATCATTTCAACAACTTTGATAACTTTTTCTATCTCTGTTTGCGATTCATTATCAGTTTGCTTACCCAGTAAACTGTCAAATAATATTTCTACATCGTTTGTTACATCTTTCTTTGAATCGCTTTCATACATGTTGGCTTTATTTATTGTTTTGCATCCATCCTCATTGTTCTCTCTCTGGCTGTCTACTAAATCATGTTCACTCTCATCGCATTCTGTACAAAGGCCAACCATTGGCTCACAGATATCCTGCATTGCATCAGTGCATGTTTCTTTAACATCTTGGCCATCTATAGTTGGTTTTAATTCTTCTGCTGTAATTCTAGAGCTGGAGATGCCATCTTGCAGGATCTCTTCATCTTCTTTATCTAAAAATTTGAGATCTAATAAAATTTCAAAAAGAACACATACAGTATGCCCTAGCCTACAAGGCTAAATTACACTAGACTGAACTACTTTATTACTAACTAGGCCTAGCCTAGGTAGGCCTGCCTAGATTCAGAGTTCAGAGACTTGGGCCTCCAGATTACACAAAACAAATGTCTACACAAAACAGAGTGGTAAATAGAGCCTTACTTAAATTTATAAATGTTTGTGTTGTATATTAAAGCTACATCATACATGACCAAATTTGCAGTAAAAAAAATTACAATCTAAATGTACACTATTTTTTAGCATTTACAAAAATTAACAAAAATATATGGCAAATAATGACAAATAGTGTTAACATGCAACTTGCTATAGCCCTACATGCGCTCAGAAACTTCAAATGTTTATAAAAGCGTAACCAGTGGCTCAATTTTCCTCAAATAAAGTTTTTTATGACACTGAGATGACACTTTTTTATATTCAACTTTTGTATTTATCATGTGATGCCTACCTCAGGTTGGCGCTATGAACAGTTGTAGGTCTAGCCTATGCTAATTGTAGACCTTGACTAGGCCTAGTAGTAGTAGTAGGCCTGTGACTTGGAGAATTCGATCCAACTCGGCCACAAGTCAACTCGGCCACAAGTCAACTCGGCCACAAAAAGTTTAGCTACAGTCAACTCGGCCACAAGTCAACTCGGCCACAAATCAACTCGGCCACAAGTCCACTCTGCCACAAGTCATTTACTGGTACTACATTGTACTTATTGTTATTATTATTGCTGTTATTATTGTTGTCATTGTTGTTATTATTATTACTGTTGTTTTTATTACCGTTAGTTTTAATATTAATTAGTCTTAGCATTAACATTATATATTATTCAAATTTTTGCTATTATTATTATTACAGTACCATATAAATAATAAATAATTTTCGATTTTTTATTATTATTATTCATATTATTATTATTATTATTTATTAGTCTTAATATTATAATTTTAATAATAGTAATTTAAAAAGTTGTTGTTATTGGCGTTTTATTAGTATTTTTCTCATATTAATATTATTGTTGTTGTTGTTGTCACCTTTATTATCGATATTATTACCCCGTTATTACTAAGTAGGCCTAGTATTATAACTATTATTATTATTATTACTAATTAGTATTACTATTATTATAAATATACACATTATCTTTAATTTATTATTGTTGTATTACTGCTATTATCACCTTCAATATCGTTATTATCACCAATTAGTTATTAAAATTGATATTTAAATATAGTAGTATTATTACTATTTGTTAAAATAAATATTACTATTAATAATGTTGTTATTATCACCTTTATTATCGTCATAACGACTAATTAGTATTATTAATGTAAATATTATTAATTTATTGTCGTTATTGTTGTTTAATATTATTGTTGAAATAGAATGTTGTGAGTAAACAGAAGACAAACACATTAATAAATAACTCTTTTTAATTCATAGGCAATAGCATTCAAATCTCTTTTGGTAGTGTGGTGGTCCTGCTTTTACTAAAACATACAAACATACTGTGTACTTTATTTCAATCATATATTGAAGAAAAAGGATGCAAAAACTTAGATTTACATTAATTAAATAACTTGTGGCCGAGTTGACTTGTGGCCGAGTTGACTTGTGGCCGAGTTGACTTGTGGCCGATTTGGCTTGTGGCCGATTTGGCTGTAGCCGAACTTTTTGTGGCCGAGTTGATTTGTGGCCGAGTTGACTGAGTTGATTTGTGGCCGAGTTGACTTGTGGCCGAGTTGACCTGCACCCGACTTGGACCTAGGCTACTACTTCTGTAACTAACAGGCCTACTATTACTAAATACTAAGCCTACCTTCCTAGGCCTAGCTAGGCTAGACAACAGCAGGCTACTACTAGGGCCTAACTAGGTTAGTTAGGCCTAGCCTAGTAGGATAGGAGGACTACCTTGCTAACACTTAGGGCGTCATTCGCATGTAATCCTTACCTGACATAATGTCACTGGTATAATTAGGTAGATATTTTACTAAAATATTGACAATCTACTACACTTAGCCTTTCAGCATACGAGCGGGAACCAGCCTCACGTACGTCTAGCCTTGCTAACCTTGGCTGATCTTTAAAAAACCTTGGATACTGCCCTCTTATTAATTATTTGCGAACAACTATGGAACGCAGTTACTGCTTTTTGTGGCTCTTTTTCGTTCTGCACATTTACCATTCGACCCTTTTATCATTACGTTCAGCTCTTTTACCATAACGTACGGCTTTTTTCCATTAGCATGACCAGGGAGTTTATGACCCTTTTCCCATTTGGTGCTTTTACCATTTAGCCCTTTTGTCAAGGTCGTGACAAAGTGCGAGCCAGCGAGTCATGCCAGCCAATGCGCGAGCCATGCGAGCCAGCGAGCCATAAACATTCGAGAGATGACACGGCGTGTGTGTGACCAGCACAACTCGTACAAGACGAGGAATTATCTAAATTGGTTCAATCACTGGACAGACAGAGAAGAAGACCGAATTTATAAAGCAAATCAATAAGTTTATTAAAATATCAAAGACAAGTTAGAAATTAATAACAGTTTCAAGGTCACACGTAAACTCAGTCGCATTCGAGAACGATCTTACCAAGAAATTAAGTTAAGCACATAAATGATAATACGTTAGATATAAAGAAACTTTAACAAAATCGTAATTTAAAAGTAAAGTAGTTAATAATAATAAACGCTAGGTAAACGTAAATAACGCACCAAATCCAATTAAAGTAAATTAAAGTTCTACAGTAAGTATTATTATTAAAGTCTATATTATTGAGTTAATGTTAAATTACACGTTTTTGACGATAGATATTATTAAACTATTTAAAACAAAACTTTTTATTAAAACCCAACACAGTCCTTCTACAATAGCAATTCGTTAGCTCCCATTAAGTTACGGTATGTTTTGTAAATAGTATTAAATGAGTGACGTCGGAAAATGAGTCAGCTGTATTTACAATGATGTTACCGGACCGACGGTTGAACTGTCACCATGGCTTGGTCCCATCCCCAAGTGTTATTTGATGAGGGTGACTATGAGGGCGCAATGTAGTAAGATGTGTATAAGAGACAGTCACAGTACGTTGGCCCGACGTCTGTGATTTCACCTATCCTATGTCTGTCTCTTATACACATCTTATATATGTATATGTATTTTAACAACATCTATCAGCGCTGCATACTTTCGGATTGACGATTCGAAAAAGTAACCAAGTCCAAAAGTGTATGACTGCGCATGACTGGACTACACAGTCAAAGCTCCCTGGTGTGTTATTCATTTGCATCTACTAGGCCAAAGAATATAGGCTAGGCCTACGTGTTTGCAAAACTGGATAACCTGAAATAGCCCCACCATCGGGGAAGACGATAAACTTTGTCGGGAAACAAACAAATAAAAAAAAATATTTACATGTAATATTCGTTTAGCCAACATATCGTTTGTGTTAACTTTTCATCACAACAACAACCACAATAACAATAACAATAATAATAATAATAATAATAATAATAATAATAATAATAATAATAATAATAATAATAATAATTCGATGAGACTAACTAAAAATAATTTGCGTTCTGCTATGAAAAATGCTATGAAACATTAGAAAGTATAGCCTACATGAAGTCATATTGTAACTCGATGCTTATCAAATAAGCAATAAAAATTCGCCATAATTCATCAAATATCCGTGGCTTCCAGGAGGATTCGCCCCCCGGGGGCCCTAGGCGGCCCCCCGGCCCCCAGCCAAGTGAGACTCGATTCGCTCCACTAGCCCC